GAGCACTAGTGGAACTCAACCTAGAATGCACAGTAAAATCACTTGGGAAACTACTTAAAAGACAAAACTAATGCTGTTGCTCCACCCAAGACCGATTAATCCAGCTCCGGGGTTAGTACCCAGACATCAGTTTTGTTTTGTTTTTAACTCCTAAGGTGACTAATGCTGAGAGTTGAGAACCAGTAAACTAGAGAAGAGGAAAGAATGGGAAGTGGGGAAGGACAGGAAGTTGGAGTTGTCTCAGTAACATTAAAATGGGAGTTATTTGGTAAAAGAGTTGGGGATGGAATGAGAAGTTGAGCAGAGTGATGCAAGTTTTGTATAACTGCTCTGGGAAAAGGGAGGGGGAGTCACCTCTGCCTTTCCCTACAGCGCAGTTCCATCCCTCGGTGTTAATCAGGTTCACCTCTATTAGGGCTGCTCTCTTTCTTCTCCCTTTCTCTTCCGTCCAGGATTTACCAGCTCAGCATCTGGGCTTAGAGCTCGGGAGCATCCTCATTTCTATTCCCAGAAAAATCAGAACTAAGACAATTTATGAGATTCAAAGACTAACTTTTTTACTCCCTTAGAGACTACACACAGTGTCCTGCCAATTTAGAACCTCTTCTATTATTTATTTTGTCAATCATTTAAGTTAGGAACGCAATATAAAGATTTAAGATATAGCCCTATTAAGACCATGTAGCAATAGGGGAAAACCTTTAAAAGAATTCACTTGGCAGGTAGAGAGGGTCTATGTAAGACAAAGCCCAAATCAATGCATGGCTATCTATTAACTAGTTAATCTAAAAACCTGTCTGCCTCCAGATAAGAATTACTGTTGTCTTGCTATGACTGGAGTTTAATAAGGAGAGTAGGGGTGAGGCAGAGATAAAGATGATAAAGTGGGTGTGAACAGATTAAAAGGAGCCTTAAATTCCATGCTAAAGCTTTCAGATTATATACTGTAAGCAATTAATGGGTATGAATAACAAAGGTAAAAATAAAAAAACCTCTTGCATGCCATGTACTTCTTTGGCAGCTTGCTTATAGACCCTATCTCAGAATATTATTTTTAAATGTATAAAATAAAGTACATAGAAACACAAATGAAACGAATTGTATTGAAAGTTTGAAAAATATTAAAACAAGTTGTACATGTGTGTCTTTATGCATTAAATAACATCTGCAGCAGGTCTAATTATGTAATTTCAAAATCGTGATGAGTATAAATTATGTTTGGAGATATCTGTAGCAACATTAATGTGTTATGAAAATACCATATTTCTACTGGTAATAAAGACATAGTGACTGCTAATACCGCTGTGGATTATTCACTATACTTACTGAAGAAAATGGTGAATTTCAACTACAGGTTATTGAAAATAAAGATGCAATTTTTTTCCCAAGTTCATAGAACCCTTTATTCTAGCCACATCCTGTACTGTGGGTCCTAGTTTATAAAAAGCTCACTGTAATGGTTTTAAGCGAGAGCGTGATGGATCAAATCTGTGTTTCAGAAAGGTAGTAGAGCAGTGTTCATTCCCCATCCTCTCTATTGGACTAGGATTCGGGTACTTGGCTGTTTCTTTCTCTTACACCTTAGGGGTAGCAACCAACAGCCACACACTGTTGACTAAAAATTGGGCCTGCAGGATGACTGAGCTTAGGCTAGGTGTGTCAGAGCAGTACCAGAAAATAAATCGTAAAAGATAGGTTGGGGCTATTTTCTAGAAAATAATTGAATGCCAGGCTGTAATCTGCTTGATTAGGCAGACAACAGATGTTAAAGTTTTTGGAGCAGAACAATATAACTGGAGTTCGGTTTGAAAAATGATCTAGCAGTAATTTGTAAGTTAGAGCATCAAAAAAGAATATAGGAGTGAAGAGGTTAGACAAATAAATAAATAATTTCTTAAACTAAATTTTATCATAAAGTGATCTCTAAAGAGTCTGCTAGGTTGTTTTCCCATTGTAACTGACCCGTCTAAAGAAACAGATTGAAATAAATTTCAAACCTTTCAACTGGGATGTTACCTATCAGTGTAGAGGTCAGTTAGCATTTTATGTGGTCAAGAAGCTAGCCCACTCTTCTGTATTATAAATGATAATATTAGTACTTTTGATGGGCAGTGGCTTTACCACATATTTAGGTTCCCAGATGTTGCTAAGACCTTCCTTGGTTAAATTTCATCTATACCTGTAAATTTTACATTTCTGACTTCTTAAGGTAAATACTCCTCAATCCCTTAAACCTCTTAGACGAGTAAAATGTATCAGCAAACAAAAAGGAAGTCCTCAAGGCCCAGATAACCCTTCTCTTTGGAAACTGATCAGTACCAGACTGTATAAAATTGACTGCCCAAATCCCAGCTAGTCCCCAAATTGTGTGCTTTTTTTAAACATACTATTCAAAAAATTGGATATGGGGTCCAAATATTACTAATCCAAATTAGTAACATTAAGTTATTTAACGTTCTGAACCAAACTCTCTGAGGGACTACCTTTCTTCAGCATGACTAGCCTATATTGACTTTGTCCATTTAACTATTGGAAACCATTTTAGGTGTGATATAGTTCAAAACAGACTGAAAATCAAGTTTACGTAGAAGTCAACATTCATCTGTCTGCCCCCTTACAGGGGGAAGGAATGGGTCTGTCTTAAAGTAGAGAGAATACTTGAAATTTATGAGGCTTTTTAAGAATTTCTATTTCTACAGAAAATCTCTGAAAGTTCCTTTCTCTGGCTTCCAATTAAATGTCTACCCCTCTGCACATTCATCTATTATAAAAGCATTAGAATACAGTCCTGATACTAAAAAAAAAATTGTCCTGATTACAGTTATTATTTTTGAGCATCTATAATTACAAGTTTAAAATCCTCAGGCCTGCCTTCTGGTGGCCATCAAATAAATAAATGTACTCGCAGAGTAGTGTGACAGGTTAAATCCCTTCAAAACAATAGTTTGGAGGATTTCTAGCCTTGGCCCTAATTTTCTTACTACTGTGTGTTGCAGCAACTTGGTACTTACATTAGCAGCTAAAATAAATAGTTGCTGGAAATGTCTGATCCTACATTATAATATGGAATATAATTCAAATGTGGTCAGATAACTCACAAGTATTTGTGTCAATGAATATTTAAATACAAATTGTTGAGATAGAAAATCCTATGTGTCATAATTGGGGCCCATCAGACCCTGTTTTCTTATCAGCACAGTACAATGAAACAAATTCATTATTTCTTTCATTCCTTCATTAAATTTGAGCCCCCACTATGTGCAAAGCACATTGTTGAAACACATAAATTGAAAGTTTATAATAACAATTTACCTCTTAACTACCCATGAAAAAAAGTAATTTACCAAGCTCCAAAATATACAGGACAAATAAGATTAAAAGTGATGGCTTTTTCCATACTCATCCAAACAGTATGTTTGCATATAGCTACTATGAGCTGAACACTGGTTATTTATGAAATCAAGCGAACTGTAACTTTAGCTTAACCATGACTTAATCAGCTTTTTTTGTTACTGTAAATGCTAAAATTAAATGCTGCTTCTCCTTTATAAAATGTCTAACTCAGATCTCTCATTAGATCTAATGGCCTCCTCACATACTGTCTTTAT